AACGTTAAAGGTTAGTCAGTATACTTTCATGCTAAACTAATATTCAACAAAATCTTTGATGCATCAATTATTCTGTATAGCGTTTGATTACAATAATAGAAAAGAAATGATTTCTTAATTTGTTTCCAATATTAACTACTCGTATATATTTATTGCAATATATAGCATATTTAAGATTTGCCTGCGTTTTAATATTAGATTTATTTATTATTGTCTATGATGTTTTTTATCGAATAAAAGTAACAATTCTCTTCTATCCTGTACCTGGTTATGAGATGAATGTAAATTGAACTAAGTGATTCTTTTGTTAAACAGCATTCATTATTTCAAAACCTATTAATGTTTTTATACGTAACTTAATTTCTAGTTAAAATGAAATAATAATAACATTAAAAAAAAATATTGAAGTATATTTTTTTAAAGTTTTTACTTTTTTAAATGACAACATACATTTTTAAATTCATATTTTGAAGAATACTTTGATCTATAAAATCTCAATTTAAACACGTATTCTTTAAGTTATAACTTTATAAATATTTAAAGTTTAAGTGAACCATCGTTTAACGAAGTATCCTAGACCCCCGTACCACACAACTCCGTTAATACGTAGTTACAACTATTCGTCTGACTTTAGATTTTTATGTATTGAAATACTCAAAAAAACATTCTACTTTAGAAAATGAAATTAAAAATGCATATTGTCATTCAAAAAGTAAAAAAATCAAAATATTTAACAATAAAAAGTATTATTTTTTTAAATTGTTTTATTTTTATAAAAAATTATGTACTTATAGTAATATTTTTAAAAACGTTGATGGATTTTTAAACAATGAGTGTTATTTGATATAAAAAAAAAAAAAATTACCCTGTAATTTTAAAGCAATATTTTTTTGAATTTTATATTCTAATGGCGAATATGAAGTTTATAGCTTGTGATACATTATAGTATGTTTCAAATAAATTTACAAACACGCTTACACTCTAAAAAAGAGAAATTAATAGCTTTTTAACAAAAAAAAATCAACAGGTGAATGTGATTTATAATAGAAAAAAATTGTTTATTTATACTTTTTTTATGCTTATTATTTTCTAGAATCTCATCTAATGGTGGATATAAAATTTCGAAAATCAAAACTTATTCTTTTACCTACATATCACCTAAAATATAGTTTTTTTTAAAAATCAGTTTTTCGGGGCCTTTTGGTGTATAAATTTTTCGAAAATCGAATTAATTACTACATTAAAAGATAGAGCGATATACCATTAAACATTATAGCTTATTTCGAACTAATTTACTAACAGCTTACACTCTAAAAAAGAAGAATTATTAACTTATTAACAAAAAAAATCAATAGATGATTGTGGGCCATAATAGAAAATTTTTTTTATATTTTTACTTTTTTTATGCTAATTATTTTCTTGCGTCTCATTTATGCAGGTGCGTCATTTGGAGGATATCAGTATATGCGGTTGCATCCTTAACTTTTAAAATAGTATTAATTGGTTTGCACCCTGCTAAGATAATGTTAAAAATGAAATCTCTTTAAATAGTATTTTAATTTTAATTTTTACATTTATCAATATTGCAGGTATATTGTCAATTATTATGATTGTTTATGATTTTTAATATTTCAGTTTTTAAATTAATTTTTTCTATTTATATTAATGCAATAATTCGGTAAATGCAATGTATGGAAATAATTTAAAACTGGATTGTGAAAACATCCTCGTACGGGTATCTATTTATAAATGGCCAAAAAAAACCTTAAATAACGTTCTTGTTTACTCAAGTTCTGTAATACAATAACCTAAAAAATCTTAAAAAGATGCAGTCCCGTTTTATATGAAAATCGGCTTTGGTTTATTTTTTTGTGTTACATTATGTAACAAAAACTCCAATAATAAGAATTCATTAATGTCTTTATCTTTATCTCACCGATTATTTATAATATTTTAGGGATACATATGTATTAAATGTGGAAAACAATTTGAAAAGTTTTTGGGATTTTTCGGTGTCATTTGTATTATTTCAAAAAACGTGTCAGTCTTTTTTTATCGTCCAGTAAAACAAATAGTTTTAACTATACTAATTAATATGAAATATGTATCCACCACCAAAAGCATTTTAAACTAAATATTATTAATATTTATTTCACGAATCGATACAAAACGATAAGATGTTGGGAGTTGCGTTAAAATGTTTTTTCTTCGCATGTTTTTATACACCAACTCAAAAACTTTCCTGGTATTTTCTCTACTGATGTAAGATTATAAACAAGGTGGATGATATGATTACATATTAAACCATGGAACTTCTATGCTTTTTATAACTTATTTAGATATTTTTTTTTTCAAAAGATGTTTTACATTTTAGAGTTGTAATCACATATGTGTTAAAGTTTTTCAAAAAAATTGTTCGTTTAAAACTATTCAAATTTTCTTAAAAATATCACTTCTATTTATAATTATTATTTTTTTATCAGTGTTGATTATTCCGAAATAATTTTATAATAAATTTACGACTCTTAAAGAAAACTTTAAGAGTCGTTATGTTTAGTCGTTATCATAATAATGGATTATGTAATATAACAATATATGATGTACATATTTCAGCACACCTAACAAACTATACAAAGTATATATAAAGAGAAATTGCAGGGAATAGGTAGTATTTAACAAGCAATTAAAATTAAAATTGTGCACATAGTGAAGGTCAAGTCAATGTCAGGTGACAGGTCGCTTCGTGCGCAAGCTGAAATCGAGTTTGTTTTACCAGGGTCTTAGCATTTGGCTAACTGTTACCGGCACCACTGTTGTTTGCTCTATTATATACACGAAATTCAAAAATCTTACATTTTAAATGTAAGTTAAACATTATTTACTGGGTAAAAATATTCGAATATGTAAAAACAATCTTCTCATAAGTTGTTAATTTTTCATTTTAAATGTATCGAAAATCTATACTTACAATATTTTTTTATAAACGTTTCAAGTTAAAAATCGCAAAAATTAGTAAATCATTTTGTAATTAGAAATTCATAAAAATTTTGCTTTTTATACCTAAGACTTAAACATATAATAAAAGGTTCCTTATTAGTTTATCAACCTATGTGTGAAAAAAAATTCTACCGGAAAACCAAATTAATTTTTATGAGCATTTCAAGATCAAAATTTGTTAACGACATTCGATATTTATTATTTATCCCTCCAGTCCACAAATTTTGGTAGGATTTTTTTGTGTTTCAAAAGAAAAATAACAATAAATACATGATATTTCCTCCAAAAATTTATATTATTATTTTAATTATACAGTGTAATTTTAAAAAAAAATGAGAACTCTTTTTTTAGTTATTTATAAACATATGAAATTTTCAATTTTTTTCTTCTAAAAATGTCAATAAAAAGTTATTTACTATGTGAAAATTCTTGAAAATTTAATACGAGTTTCCACAAAAGTTAATATACACATAAACATTTAAAATATATGAGCACAATTTTTTTTTTTTATATGTATTTAAAGTTAGAATTTTGACAAATTTAATAAAAATCACAAAAAATAGCTAACTATTTAGTATTTTATAGCTAAAATTTTATAAAAATATTTCTTTTTGTATCTAAGATTTGAAAATTTTATACAAAATTCTTCATAATTAGTACACACTAAAACTATACAATCTAAAAAATGTATTTATGAAAAATGTAATTATTTTTATAGATATCTTGTGTTTTAATTTTTTTTTTTTTTTTTTTTTTTTATCAATATTGTAGAATTTCCAAAAACATGTTTTATTGTTTGAAAAAACCTCACTTCTCACCAACACAAGAAAACGTTTAATTAATTTTATGCATACCAATTAAGTTATAATTTGTATATAAATACTATATTTACAATTATCAGGGCTATGCATTTCATGATATATTTACACAGGTTATGATCATTCTATACAGATTCAAAATGTTTATCTTGCTTTTTTTAAAGCCCCGAAACCGCTGGCGGGGAGATCAATAAATAATTATTATTTGTTTTCACTTGGATTGTTACTAAATAACATAAAATATAATGTAATATTACGATACCAGTACGTCATGGCGGCGCTATCGTGTTTATAATACGAACAACGATTGCGGGCTGCAGCGCGCGCGCGCGACTTTCACTCTGACTTTAATGCCGTAGATATTCGTAACAGCGCTACTGGCGTCGGCGATGTCCTTCATGTACGCTTACACGACGACTACTCAGCTGTCGTCAACTTTATTGAGTTCCTCGTCGGGTACGCTGATATCGTGATTACTGATTAGTAATGTCTGACGCTCCGACGTCGGTTCGTGTGTAATGAAAAAATTGACGGCGATAAATGTTGTGGGTGGCGTTTCTACGTATTATTCCACGCCTTGGAATTAATTGATCACACTAAAATAATATGTACACTCGTTCGTATAGAGAAATATAATTTGCACGCAATGCGATAAGCATTTTTTTTTATAAAATATATAATTATTATAATATTTTTTTATATTATTATTAATATTAACTCATGCAAATACCTATGCAATAATATATGTGTATATAGTGTATAAATGGTTTGTTTCAATAATTGTTCGTTCGTTTTTCTATTATTTTAAATACTAATATACTTCTAAAAGTTTTCTATTAGATTATGACCGTGATTACGAGACACCAGAATTTGGCGTATCCCATCACTTCCGCTAAAGATTTTACGGATTATCCGAGGATAAACAAATAATTTCAATAAACGCTTTAGAGCTAAATACTTTTTATATTTAAAATGTAAAAAGAAAATTTTAAATATAATTAATAGTTTAGGTCAGGCGTCCGTCTCAGAGGCTTATTCAGTACCTTTTTTAAGACCGACGATAGATTATACATAACTATGCAGAAATATTCTTAACAAAAAAAAAAATCAATGGTTATTAACGTCATTAAAATAATTAACTTTGTATGAAACCCGGAATTCGAAATTAAAATATTATTTATCGGTAGGTATCTTTAATACTCCATACATTTATTTATGAATTAATTATACTAAGTTCGTTTTACATAATTTTACATATTTCGAGCGCATGAAGTGCGTTCACACTTTATCCATGAGTTTTTGGTTTATTAAATTCTATATACTTTTACTTATAATATAATTTTATATTGAAGCATAACTTATTATAGTCTACTACATATTGCCATCGGTGGAAATGTTTTTCCAACAACACTGCAACAGATCACCGCCGGGACAGGGGTGAAAACCTGTTCGAACAGCGTTCGGTGGACATCCGCGATCGCTCTTGTCTGTCGGTTGACACTCTGACCACCAACAATTGTCGTTAAAATTGGAGCGAATGTCGATGTCCGGATCGGTGGTTTCAGGACGAGCACAACATTCGTATCTAAACCCGTCCCACTCGCACGCCATCCTGTTCTTTTCCGTCCTGTTGTAA